GCAGGGGGGTTGGAACTACATGATCCTTGAGGTCCCTTCCAACCCGGGTGATTCTGTGATTCTGTGAATCTTTGGATGCTTCCTTGATGTGTTGAAGTATAACTGCAGTATTTCAGAACATGTTGTTACCATGACTATTTTGTTGCATATGGTTCAAACAGTGGATGTGAGTGGTGGTATGCATGCATGACGTGTCTTAATTGAAAGGTAAACTTCTACCTGATACCTTTAACTCTGTGGCAGTATCTGTAATCTTTCCAATCCAGTTTTTTTTTCATTGGAATATAAAAAGCAAGGGAAAGTGGTTGTGTTATGGGTATAACACATAATAGTCAGTGGTGTTCTTACCTCCTATTTATTCCTTGGCCACACGGAGGAACACTTTGGCTTGAGGTAACCAGTGTTACCTTTTGCTGTGAACAGCGCAAAGGATCCGGTAGATCTCCCAGATCAGCTGTGAGCATCAAGAGAAACTTGATGTGAGTTAAACCTTGGACAGTAAAACTGTCCTTGTGTAAGAAGCAGGATGGAGGAAGTAGCAGTGGAGAGCTTTGGTGATAGCTGACATGACTGTAGCCAGTTGTCTGTCAGTTCAATTCTGTGCGGGTGTTACTGCCTCTCACTTCATGGTTGCCTGGGAAGTGTGATGCATCTTTGTCCTGCTGTAGAGGAGGGAAGTTCCTGCTCTTGTTTCGTGTCATATTGTGATCTGTGAGACCAAAGCCAAGATAGTGAAGTTTTTGGTGAGTATCACCCGAATAGTGGCTGCCTGTTAGCAGAACAGGCAGAGCAGAAGTAGAGTCTGCACCAGGTCTCTGCAGATGGTTCACTGTGTTTCATGAGAATAGAAATGCAAGACGTGACTAGTCCCTGTACTCTTACTTACGGCTGGTAAGAATGCAGTGTCTGAACATTAAGACAGTTGTGATTGCTAAAATAATAAGAAAAATAATGTTCTCTGAGAGCCTTTGTTTTGAATACCGCAGGTTAAGTTTAAAATTGGTACGAAATGTTCTTAGCTATTAAAAAGAAATGAATGTCTCTGAAAATATCTTGGTTTATTAAGGAATGTAAGTGGAACCTGAACGTGGTAATTCTGACTTCTTAATCAACTGTCCACAGCCCAATTTCTTTTCTTTCAAGTGAAATGTGTTGTTAGGCTGGTTTTGAAGAGTGCTGCTGCAGCTTACTGCAAGGCTTGACTTCTGCTGCTCATTTTCAGAAAAGCTTCCTGTTTTGAGCAAGGCACTGCTTTTTATTTTTAATTTTGAATAGCAGACGTCAGTATTATTATTTCTCCCATTTCTCTCTCAACAAAATAACTAAAAGCAGCAGTGTGTGCTTTTTCATCTCCTCTTGATGTCCTTCTATGGAAAGAGGACCTGTTTCATTCTTCTCTACTGCTGTGTAGTACCAAGATTCTTCTGGAATAAGAGAAATGGTGCAGATATTTTTTATACTATAATTATGTGCTAGGGGCCTGTAGATTGTAATTTATTGTCAGTGAGCTGGCATTATCCTTGACACATGTAAATCTGTTTACCTTTTACTTAAATGAAAGAATATTTTTCAAAGCTTGTGCTGTGTTGTACAGCTCTGTAACTTTTTTTTCTTAAGGACTGAAAGCATGGCTGCTTATCAAAACAGTGGATGTGTAAAAACAATGTTTTGTATCCAGCTTCTCATGGAAGAGTCAGTCTAACATACAAGTGCTAGGGAATAAGTGAATGCAGCCTTCAAAGCGAGTCGGTCATTGAGATGAGTAGGAAGAAGAAAAGAATCTTAACCTGTGTTGTAAAAGAGGCATGAAAAGCCCTGTTGGGGTGGTGAGCTTGAAAACAAACTTGTTCAGGAACAGTTTTCATTTCAGTAGGTAGATGGAGACTGAAGCCTGCAGAAGATGCTAATTTCTAAGGCAAGTGGTTAAAGTTCGCTGTGAATCAGGGCATGGAGCTTGTTTGCAGAGATAGGTGTGAACTTCAAAGTTGCTCTGCCCACCTGCTGGTGTTTTCTGTAAATATATGAGGCTTTGGTGATGCAGCTTGCTTTGGAAGCATAACTTCTCTGTGCAAGAATGATTGTAAATGAAAGAAGGCTGTGATGAGTAGGAATTACAGTCATGACTGTGGTGTAAAAGCATAAACCACAAAAATGTGATCAGAAAGAATGCTAAAACTGTCTGATATAAATTGTAAATATATGTTATTATAGGTGCGAGAGGTTCTAGGTGCTAGATCAGAGTTATGGAAACTGAAATGCTTACTTACCATTTATAAACTAGTAACTGCTGCAATGAAGTGTTCCCTAATTGCCCTGGAAACGTCAGTGAAGGGCAAACACAGTGAGTGCTGTGTGAACTCAGGGGAAGAAACGTCTTACAGTCCTGTATCTTGATCTAGTTTGTGGCTTTGATCTAGAATGTAATGGGTACAAGTAAAATTATGTCCTAAGCTGGAATATTGAGCGGTGAAGACCTACAGGAAAGTGATAATAGTCATAGATCTTTGCCTGTTGTTTCATATTATGGGCTCCTATAGTTGCTGTGGGATCAGAATTGGAGCAAAAGGGTTGGTCTGTATGAAGAGCTGCGCTGGATAGGATCAAAGGACATGTTCTCAGAGCTGGTATGTTACTGAAAATATTTACTTAATCCACAATTGGTTATTTTTCAGAGAAGGTAGATAATAATGTTTTACTTTGGGGGTTGATTGTGGGTGTTTTTTGTTGTTTGTTTTTTCAGATGTAAGGAAAGCTTTGTACGTGCAGCTATTGCTGACGTGAGTGTACAGTGACTCTTGTTTCTTTGTGGGATGCATTTGCTGCTATTGCTTGGCAAATTCCAAGAAAGCAGTGTGTGGTGAAGTGTAATGAACAAATGCTAAGCAGTTCATATCACGTGGACAGTTGGAAGGTGCTTGGGTGTTTCTCTACATTCGTACTTGAAGATGATGAATGACAAGAAAAACATTGAATGAGCCAAATTGGTAAACATTTTAATGTAAAGTTATGGAAAATAGGAAATACTCATTGATGGAGGGATTCTTTACTCAATCTTCAATGTAATTATAGACATTCTTTTGGCACCTTATAACTTGCTGTGTCAAGTACTTCCCTAGGCAAAGAAGGGATGATGAGGAGACTTTCCATCTAATCCTCTGATTCTTTTTGCTGTTGCATCAAACTTTCTAAGGAAAAATACTTGAATTGCAAGCTTTAATAGAGGGAAAAGTGGCTTCTCATGTTCAAAAGGCAGTGAAAAGTCTGTGAGTTTTGAGTGCTTTGCTTGTTTGTCTCAGGGTATCCTGGTGGGAGAAGTAACTGGCACAGCAGGGCAGAAGACATAAGGTGATCTGGAGGTGTTTTTCTTGCCGCCTCAGCTGCGAATCCTGCAGCCATATAACTGAAGTGAGTGTTTCACATGGATACAGTGCTAGTTCTCCTGAGACCAGCGGGCTTCTTGGTTTGGAGGTAAGCTCTAGGATAAGTTCAAATGATAAAGGCAGCAAGTATTTAATTACCATCTCTCAGAAGACAAAGGTTAGTTTTCAGCTCCCGATGTGCTGAGATCTGCCCATGTGAGTAGACTTTTGGGAGGCTGAGCTCACGTGGGTAGAGATGTAAAGTTGTCCTCTGTCACTCTTCTGCCAGGAGATCTTCATGATGTTGTTATTTGTTTTTAAAGTTTAAGTGCACAGATATTTTAAGTGTAGTTAGCTCTGTTGAAGGCAAATGGTGGTCAATTTCAGAGCCACCCAATTGAAAGCTATTGACATAGCAGATTTGGTGAGGATCAGAAGAGCAGGGCTTCCGTGGAAAGGGCTTTTGATGAAAAGATAAACAGCTCATGACTCCTCCGATGGGCCTTTTGTTGAGATGATAGACATTTAGGCCTCTTTTTACACTCTAAGTATACAACTTTCTCCAGAAGGTATTGGATTATGTTTGTTTCTTCAGTATCTATTTTTCCAAAACAGATTGGAAACTTAATTCCTTGTGTAGTCCATGAGGCTTTATACAAACTCTCATCTCTGCATGATTCTCCTACATTTTGACTAAGAATCCCTTCTGAACAAACAAGAGCCTGAATGATCATCAGCTGCAATTCATGTTTTTTTGTTTGACAAGCAATTGGTACAAAAGCTGAAGCTGTGACAGTGGTGGTAAGTCATAAATTGTTTCAAAGGAAAATGGATGTGAGCGGTGATTTGGGCTGGTCAGAGCTCTCTCTCCGAAGCCCATAGGCTGAACTTCCAAACCCAGCTCCACCTTCCTTCTGCAGTGTTGACCTTGGTCTCCATGCTGACTGCAGCACTTCAGTCTTTGTGTAAATAAATTCCTCCTGAATTACTCAGAGGCCAGATGTGCTTTTTCTTTTTTTAACCTTGTGGATTCCAAACTACCTCCAGTTTTGGCATCCATTAATACTTACAAGTGTGTACTTTTTTTAATCGCTGTGAAATTCTCTCCTAGAAAGACACAGCTGGAGCTCTCTTCAGCTGAATGTAGACATGTATTTCTGTTTGCATCTCCTTCACCTCGGTCTACTTATTGCCTTAGAATTTCTCTCTCAATTCTTAGTAATGTCTTCAACAGGGTTATCCTTCAGGTTAAATGTGGCCTGCAAGTTGTTGTGGGTTTTTCTGTTGTTGCTGTTTTGTTTTCCAATTTGCTTCTCACCTTATTTCTCTGAGGATTTTTTCCCACTCTGGGAAGCTTCATCCTGGCATGTGGTTACCTTCCTCCTGGAATAGGTAGGTAGATTTTTTTACTTACATGAGCAACAATGATGAAATGATAAGCTGCTTCTGCTTTCTGTGCTATTCTGCTGTCCAAGCAGAACCTGCTAAGAAAGGGCTGTCTTACTACAGCTGATTGTGGGACGTTAAAGGCATCTCCAAGGGGGTTGAAACTAGATGATCTTACAGGTCCTTTTCAATCCAGGCCATCCTATGATTCTGTGGTCATCCCTACATCATTTGCAAGGGGTGCAGTTGCTGATGATTACTCATAGCTGTCTGGTTTTCCACTCTCCTTTTTGCTGAAGGGATTCCACTCTCATAAGGCTGTTGTAACCTGTGACCTCACATTTTTGCAAGGAGACAGAGGTTCAGCAGGAACAGAGGAAAAGGCTGCTTATTTTTTCAAGCTGTTCTTTCTGATGTGGACAAAAGGATTCTCTGCTGTGGTCTGTGCCTGAAGAGGCTGTATTTGCCCCAGTTCTTCTGGCAGGTACGAAGGGACTTTCCTTAATTTAGGATGGCATAATTAAGTGTGGAAGGTGTTCAGCAGGCTGTCTTAATGCTCTTGGAGAATAACGTCTCCAAAAGTCTCAGTACCAAAGTATGGTTATGTGTGGAAATGAGCTGCCGTAGGAACAGGAAACATAGAAAGGAAATCTATTGGGAGGAACATTTACCACATAACCCTTCAGTTTCATTGTTGAAAAACTTGGATCCAAATGAGCTCTGGAGTTCAACTCTTAACTGATCAGAGAGTAATGCTAGGTAGCAATTCCAGGTTTATCCATAGCAGGAAGCCTGGATTTACCCAAGCAGAGCTGCATTGGTTTCCTGTGCCCTTCTCTCATTTTTTGCATCTTAATTTGACTGAATTTGCAGCATAGCAAAACAAGTATTTTCACTGTTCTCCATTGTTGCCAACTTCATGAGCAGATAATGGCAGCACTTCTTCACAGAAGTTATTCCTACAAGCCTCTGTTCATTGATAGCCCTGTAATGTTCTGTTTTGGCTTGTTGTTGCTTTTGCCATATGAAACTATATTTTTCTCAGGCTAGTGAGTTTTGCCTCTATGTTGCTCTTTCCCCTGAAATTCTTGAGTTTGCTTTTCCATTGATCTGTCTTGTGAAAATAGGAAAGAGTGTGCAGGGTAAATGCACAAAAGCCCATGTCTTCTCTGTTTCTGAGCTTTAACATTGTTTTACGTGCTACTTTAGACAGTTTGTCAGATTTTTTCCATCTTGTCTTGAAGAAGGACTTGGGTGAGAAGAAGAGGTTGAATACAAGTTCCCTGTATTCTCCCAGCCTGGTCTTCCCAGAGGATTTGAATGGCTGCAACAACCTGCAGCAGTTTTCCCAGTGGCGGCTGGGGGCAGCTGTGCTGCTCCAGCTGTTTCCTTAGTGTTCTACTTTGACAAGATTTTTCATGGAAGTAAGATTTTGATTTTTGTTCTGTTACAGCGAATAAATTGTTCTTCAAGAGTTTGGAACAATCAGACCTCAAGGTTGACCCCCTCATTAGAGGTCAGAATAAAAATTGCCTTTCTAGTTCAGCTCCATCTCAGGTTAATTAAGATGAATTCACCCACTGAAGTTGCTACTGTACGTGACTTGTTGTAATGCTTGGGTTATAATTCCAAGTGAGGAGATGGAGTCAAGATTTATATATTTCTCCAATCTGCCATTCTGTGCCAGGTTTAGGAGATGGGTGAAGATGCCTCAAGCTTTTTTTTTTTTTTTTTTTTTTTTTTTTTTTTTTTTTTTCTCCATGATTTTTTTCATAAGACCTCAAACTCTTCTGCTGAAATCCAAACTTCCACTGAGTGAAATAGCAAATAGGCATTTCTATCTGTCTAGTAGGGGGAAGCTATGTTTACGTGTGTGTGCATAACAGTCATAAGTATATAACCTACATAGGCATGGCAATATTTGTGCAGCATACACACATTTACTTCATTAGAAGGAGATAAATGATGCATAAGAAGAGCACAAGCTGGAAGTTGTTCATACTTCATGTTCACACTCAGTATGGTTTGCATTTTGCCTTGGAATCTGTTGCTTTTGATGTGGAAGTATCTGTAGCAGGAGAATCTAAGTTGATGGATAGACATTTTGCTTCAGTGTTTAGCAGTTTTTGTTGGGAACTTTTCCCAAGAGCAGCCTCAAATGCAGTCAGAGAGCAGTAGCTCAATTTCTGGTGGAAATCATTCCCTATGATTCTCTTGTCTGTGTTTCTGTTCCTACAGTGGCAAATGTAAAGTGAGGAATACAGAATGTGGGAAACAGGACCCTGATCTCAGGTGGCACATAGAACAAGGTGATGGAATGATGTAGCTGTGCTCACAGACCTCCTGGAATGTGTGGACAACGCACAGCTTAGGTGCTTTTGACAGGACTGCCCTTGTTACTATTTTGTGAATGGGATTTAAAGGATGGAGGTAAAGCTGAACTCCCCTATTCCCACTGCTCCATTGTTCTTTTCTGGTGGACAGGAGCAAAGAGAAGAGGGAAAAAAAAAAAAAACAAACACACAGATGTTTCCACAGGGTTTATTGATGAGAATCCTATTTTCTGATGTAGATGTGCAATTAAACAGGTAGGTGCTTACCTTGTCAGTGTGTTTTCTAAATATCACTACGTAGAAAAGCAGCATTTTTTTGCATCATCCACTGCAATTTCATTATTGATGCAATCTATTCTGTAGGTAACCCTTGCCTCAACTTCCTCATCAGCATTACAGTAATTGGTTACAACGTTATAGATTTCATGAAAGGTTAAGTAAGGGAGCTCTGGAATGAAGGCTGATGAATTTTCTCTTTCTAGCAAGTAGCTGCACTGTGCTAAGAAGTTGCCATGGGTAAATCACTTCAGTTTCTGCCTTATCACTAAGAGCTGTATCATATGCTGAAACTATTTATCCATTGTTCTTGTAATGTTAAACTGCTTCTTGCTGTACCCACAGAGCTTAGTAAGTGGATGTTGTGATAAGGTATTTAATGGAAAATACATGTGTTCATTTACTGTGTACTTGAACTCAAACTAAGACAGATGAAACCTCAACAGCAGTCGCTGCTTGTGGTGCCTGCCTGTGGAATGCAGCTGGCACTGCGCCGTCCGGCTGAGTCAGATGGGACCTCAGGTTTCTGTGCAGCCACAGTGTTTCACAGCACAGACTGTCATATAAGTTAGTTCCCATTCTGTATTTCTTTGCTCTTTCTGTATTTCTTTGCAACTTTCTAGATATCTGTTTGAATTGAAATCAGTAGTGTCTGGTTCACCACAGCGTCTAGATTTCTATTAAGATTAGGATAGTTGTAGTCTGGTCTTTGAGGGGGTTTCTTTCACCATTTTTATGAACAACAGTGGGGCTGATGTAATGTTCTTTTACCAAATGGGAAATATATACATATATGCATTGTATGGGAACTTTTGAGTCCTGGCCTGAACTACTGGTTGAGCACCTGAGGAAAGGACCGTCAGCCCTGGGAGCACAGGTGAAGGCAATTGAGCTGTGAGACAGGAAGGAGTGGAGCCTGGCTGCACCTCTCTTAGACCTCATTGAAGGGCTGACTGCTGGTGGGGAAGGGTCTCTGGTTGGAGATCCCTGCTTGGTGAAGCTTTCCCCTGTAAACCTAGGATTTTCTGATCCAGGTGAGCAGTCTTCTTCCCTTCCTTCATAGCACCTTTCTGTTGTTTTGGTCCTCCTGTCATCACCCCTGTTGTAATGCCTTTCCCATTGTATTGATCTGTCCAATTGCTACGTGCATGTATTTGCTGTTATTGTTCTTGTTAAAATACAGGGGCAGGCCTTTCCCTGAACAGCGTCACAATAACGTTCACCACTGTCAAATTTGGAGGCTCTTTGGACAGTGTGATAGAGATGTGGCATTGTTGCCTTAACCCAGTAGCTCCAACTAGTGCCACTTCTGTATTTGACCTGTGACAGGAGTGGAGGTAGGCTGCTTGTGGAAGGTAACCTGTCACGCTGAGCATCGCAGTCTCTTTCCATGAAAGAATGGAAAGAGAAGAGTTTTATCTCATTTAAATATTTGGAAACTTTCTAAAATGTATGTCAGACTAAATTTTCAAGGTCCGCTCAGTTTTTGTGGTGCATAAGCACCATGGCATCTGCTCCATGATGTCCTGTTTGTGCTTTCTTAATGCAGGAGAAGCTTTCATTCACTTAAAAGAAAGAGTATGTTTTGGTGTGGGAAGTCTGAAGCTGATCCAAATGGGATGCACATGCTCTGGTTTAACACAAAAAAAGGAAAGTGCTGTGACTTTGAGAGGAAGCAGGCCGCCTTTGTTGAGCTGGTGGTAAGCCCATCCTTTACCATTGTCCCATAGACACCCACAAATCTGTGGGTCCCAGTGAGATGCATCCAGAGGCCTGAGGGAATTGGTGTTGTAGTCACTAAACCACTTTCAGTAATGTTGGAAGTTCTGAAGCATTTCAGGTGAAGTTCCTGCTGAGTGTTTAAAAAAAAAAAAAGCACCATCACAACCATTTTTAACAAAGGTTATAAAAAGATGAGCCTGGGAACTACCTACCTGTCAGTCTCACCTGTGTGCTGGTGGATTTGTGGATGCCCCGTCCTTGGAGGTGTTCAAGGCCAGGTTGGATGGGGCCCTGGGCAGCCTGGTCTAGCATTAGATATGGAGGTTGGTGGTCCTGCCTGCAGCCGGGGGGTTGGAGCTTCGTGATCCTTGAGGTCTGTTCCAACCCCGGGCCATTCTGTGATTGTATGTGGATGGTGGATGGGAACGTGGACGTGAGCCAGCACTGTGCTCTTGCAACCCAGAAAGCCAACTGTATCCTGGGCTGTATCAAAAGAAGTGTGGCCAGCAGGGTAGGGAACTGATCCTGCCCCTCTGCTCTGTGCTTTGAGGCCTCACCTGAAGTACAGCATCCAGATGGGGAGTCCTGTGGAGACGTGGAGAGATGTGGGCCTGTTGGAGTGTGTCCAGAGAAGGGCCACGGAAATGATCCATGGAATGGAACACAATGGAATACAAGGACAGGCTGAGCTGGTGCTGTGCAACATGACAAGAGAAGGCTGAGAGGTGACCTGATAGTGGCTTGTCAGTATCTAAAGGGGAACAACAGGAAAGAAGGGGACAGACTCTTCAGCAGGGTCTGTGGTGAGAGAACAAGGGGAAATGTCTTCAAGCTCAAAGTTGGTAGATTTAGGTTGGATATAAGCGAAAAGTCTTCTGCAGTGAGGGTGGTGAGGTGCTGGCACAAGTTACCCAGTGACGTGGTTGATGCCCCATCCCTGAAGACTTTCAAAGTGGGGCTGGATCAGGCCGTGGGCAACCTGACCTAGCTGTGCACGTCCCTGTTTGTTGCAGGGCATTGGACTAGATGGCCTTTAGAGGTCCCTTCCAACTCTAAGGATTCTATGATTCTGTTCTATGATTCTTCTGTGTATGTTGTGGGCTGCATTTATTGCTGAATGTTTTCAGGTGTGACGAGATGAGGGTTTGCAGGCATTTTTAGTGAGATTATCTTGTGCCTGTGTTGGGCAGATTCTTAACCTTTGTTGTGCACCTTATGCAGCGCTCTTGGAGAGGCCTCCTCAGAGAGGTCCCAGATTTCAGAGTGTATCTTCATTCCATCCCAGCAGGTGGGATGAGTAAGAGGTTGGAGCGAGCTGATCTCAGTTTCTCTGCCTGGCTCTTTGTGAGCAGCGATCAGAGTGGTGTTTGTACGAGATCATGTTTTCAGTTGATTAAATTAGTGCATCAGTGAACAACACGTGGCTCTTGGGCTACCTGCAGCACAAACCTGTGACTGGGCTTTGCAGCGTGACCCGTGCTGGCCAAGGACTCTGGATAGTCTTTGATGGTTTGGTTGCAGTGGAGTGCAGCTCTTAAAAGCAGGTAGTGGACAGCAGCAGGAGTTCTGCCAAAGCCTATTACCTCTCTCTTCTTGTAGTCCAGTGTCTCTTTCATCACACTGTTTGTTGCTTGTTTTGCTTAACTGGGGGGCTGGATAGCAGCCACAGGAGCCTTTCTGACAGTGCCACCCAGCTGTGCACAAGCAGTGTGCTGGTGGCCTTTCACTGCACGTGGTGACGATGGTTGGGCTTTGTGTGTCCTGTCCCAGGGAACATGTTCTGCCTGGATGTGCATTTCCAACCAGCCTTGATTGAAAAGACAGTGAGCTGAGTGCCTGTAGACTCTCCTTATGCTTTTATCTGAAAAGAAATCTTACTATGCTAAACATTTCTAGTTTTAAAGTTACATGAAATGTTCTAAATGGTCTTTTTGCATTAAATGCAGAGAGGTGAATGATTAAGTGCAGCACTAAAAATGCCTTCACAGCAATGTGTGTGAGTGTAGAAATGGAAGCTACATAGAGATTGTTTTTCAGTCTATCTGGATCCCTTTCTTTTTTGTCAGTTTTCCAAACTTCTGCCATTCCCATGAGCAGTAAGTCCCATCCATGGGATAGAACTGCACCAGGCATCAGGCCGTGGAGAGCCATGTTTTAAGCTCTGAGTTCTCAGGTTTATACCAAGTAATGGCTGTCAGTGTAAGGTAAGGAAGTTGTCTGCAATTGCAGACTAGTGTGTTGGTTGGCTAAATTGTTCAGTTAGATGAACTCTAAACTTCTGCTGGTGATAATGCAGACAATTAACACAAATAGCATTTGTTCTAGAAGGAATGCAGCATTTTGAAAGAAAAAGCTCCTTAGTAAAGATCTGTATATGTTTTTAAAAATTTCTTCTGAATGGAATATTCAGACTTGCATAACTAAAACAATTGAAATTGAAATTTCAAAGTAATCTTGTACAGTTAATCTCATTGGGGAGGGAAAACTGGTTCAAGATTTAAAAAGATAAATTATCAGGGTTAAATCAAAGCTGTGTCTGTAATGCATGTTGGATCATTTTGCTTTAGCTGAGCTTCAGTTCTACATCATTGCTTTCTTACAACTAACAGACCGTGGAGGGAACCTTTTGCTGCACAAGGCACTAAACCTTTTCTTCCTTACACTGTTAGCATTGAATAATTTGACTCCTGTCAGGTAGCTTATTTAATTCTACTGTTTAGAGATAGCACTGTGTGGCTCCATTGAATATCCATTTACCAGCACAGTCTGTGGCTGTACGCAGAGCTCTTTGATCGTACAGAACTTGAGCCTTTCAGGATTGCTTCAGTATTGTTATCTAAGCTTTGCCTTTCCTAATGCAGGCTTTGAAAAGAAAATGCACCACATACTGCCAACAAAAATCATGCCACTCCAGACTGTGAAGACAGATGAGTTTGCAGCAGCTTTTCTTTTTTCAGCCATGGCAAGAACAAAGAACAAACACTTGAATTTCTCTTGCCCTCTCAGACTGTTTCCCACCATAAATTGTCCTTCAGTGTTTACCTTCCATAAAACTGAAAATCTTTTCCAATTGTTTCTGTTGCAGTAGCAGACTCTATCTGTTTATTTTTTTAGCCATCAGAAATGGATTGTGGTGTTCATCTTAAGAAAACAAAATCTCAGGATACTGGTAGGAACCATGAACGGCCAGAGGAGGATGTCCATATTGCAGATACCTTGGAGCATATTATAGGACAGCTGGATGTTCTGACTCAGGTATGGTGTGCTATTTGATTTTATAATGAAATTTTCCAGTAGCTTCATAGAATAAATGTGGCTAGTCTAAAATCTCTGCTCTTTAGTGGTTAATTTGATGAATCTTTTGATCTGTCAGCGTATCTCAGTTCTCTCACATCAGAACTTCTAGTTCAGGTTCTGTTCTTTCCCCATTTGTTATGCTGCAGTGTAGCAGAGAGCTAAACAGGCCAGCTCTGGTACCTTCTGTTATTAGCCAAAGTTCATCCAAGGTAATATCTGAAGGTGTGGCTAAAATTGCAGGTAGTAGAACTCTTGTCTCAGTGACTGGCTGGTTACTGCTCCTCCCCCAGTTATGTTGTATTCTGTAGGTAAACTCAGATCCTTTCCCCAGCCCCCAACATTCACCTATGCCATTCAATTTCTGCAGTGTTCTTTTCTCATCTTACATGTCTGGGCCCCACCTCTCGAATGAGCTTTTCACCTACAGCTAGCAAACAACTGAGCCCTTGCAAAGCATTCACATGCTGTTCTTCCCCAAAGTAGTGCTGGAATGGCATCAACTGTTAATGATCATCCATCACAGTGTGTGTTAGTTCTGTCCCTAAATTCTTCTTAAGCAGTCTTTTCTGTTTAACCAAATCATTACTCATTATTTCTGTTAGGAAATGTTTGTTTCTGACCATTTCTTGGGGCTAAATTTCATTGTATATTTTTGAGGGATGTGAGAAGTGGGGAGAAGGCATGGGGCGGTGTAAACACCATTGATCTGTAGAGCACAATGTCATCAGAAGGAAGAAAACTGCATGGGAGTTCTTTTCTGTGAGTTTGAACGTTTTTTCTGGGGAAGAGCAAGCAGATGTTTATCACTAAATATTGAACACTTGAGTTACTGGCTTGAGTTGGCTCTTTTTTCTTCAGAGAAGTACGTGTTATCCAAAAAGAAGTTTAGGATGATGCACTGGAGTACCCAGCAAG